TTATTTTTAAAATATTCTTTAAAAAATATCTACTATCCAAAATTATTTGTTATAATATTTTTGTCCTTAAAGTTATTAAATTGACATATCCTCTACCCTACAATTAAATCCCTACAAAAATCCGTCAAATCAAAGTTCAATCCAAATCAGCATTTTCTAACGGGCGTTTATGGGGATTTAACAGCAGAATAGATAATGCTCTTATTTAATTACTTTAAGAGCGAAGATGTCTTAATAAATATTTTAAGATATTAGGTCCTTTTTTGAGAACATTTAAAAAAAATTAATATACTTTACCCATCTAAAAATGAAGCTTCATTTGAACATATTCATTAAAAAAAAAATTAAATCACATGCTTTTGTTTAATCCAACCAAAAGAACAAATCCACGGCATCATGTTCCCAGTACAGCATGTCAAAACTTGGATTTTGTTGGTTCTTGCTTTTTATTTTTTTAAAACCAAAATAATAGCGAAAAACTAAAAAGAAAAGAAAGCAAGTCGGTGGTGATCCTTTTTTTCCTTTTTGCATATTCGTTTTTCGTTTTTAAAAAATATGTTGTTACATTGAAGATACTAATCTATTTAATTAGAAATCATCTATAAATAGTATAAAAATTTTAGAAATTCATAATATTCAGTGTAGCTTATCTAAGACTCTCTATGTTAAATAATATTCTGTCGGCTCAAAAAAAAATTCTTTTAATTTAAGAATTTATATCCCATATATAGCATATTATCATAAAGGAGGGTTTTCTCTTTACAAAATATCTAAATTCTTGTTTAAAATTGTGTATCTTTTTTAAAATTCAAAAAATGTGTTACACAGAAATATTTTATCATAAGAAAATAATAATAACTATATATATTCTTACGTTAATTATAACTCATATAGTATGACATTTTTAAATATATTTTCATCAATATAATTAATACTTAACATTTTCCTAATTTCAAATAAAGCATTTTACGTTTTTAATATAAAATAGAAACCACTAGTCAAATAATAAAAAAAATAGAAACCTCTACATGAAAATTTCTTGAAAAATAAATATCATTCTTGGAATTACGTCCGCCGTTTTTTTTTTTCTTCGCCGTGTTTTGACAAATTGTTTATAATATTAAATACATAAAAAAAAAGGTGATGGTTAAAATTTTGGGTTAATGAATATCCTAAAATCTAAACTATTATTTAAATAGCATCTTAGATCATGAACTCTCGAAATGAGCAAAATTTTTTTTTAACTCTTAAATTTCGAGCAAATTTTCTCGCTGTTTATCCATGTAACATTGATAGTTATGTAATTTAGTTGGCATGCAATGTATCAAAAAGGATTAGTGTCAGTCAAATTTTGATTGAGTCCATAAAGTCAACAATAACAATGATCATACATAAATTAATGATGAGGAATAATTTACTTGCAATTTATAAGTTGAGAGGAGTTTTTACTTATTTTAAGAGTTTATAATTTAAGATCTTATTTGAGTAATAGTTTAGAGTTCATAATGTTTATTAACCTTAAAATTTTTAGTAGTAAATAAGAGAGAATACTGTCTTATAATATATTCAACATGGTCTACATAGTTGAAGATAAAAATTATTTTAAAATATTTTATATAAACGGGGTAATCAATTTTCTTTGTACATCTATTTTTAATTTTTAATCTTATGCTACGATAAAGCCAACAACAATTGACTTTGTTGAAGAGGAGTGAGGGTTGCAGTTTTTTGTTGACAAAAAAATTTCAAACGTGTAGATTTTTCTACAACTAGATTAATTAGTTAAAATGAAAATGTTAATATGTTGACCATGGAAGGTTTCATTATTAATTAATTAAAATTAGCACATATGTAGGCGCACAATTAGGCTTTAATAAAAAAATTATCTAGCAAATTAAAAATAAAATACTCATATGATATCCCGGCGTAAAGCATTAAATCAAGGAGTCAACACGGAATACGAACTTAAAGTAATGTGAACTGTGGTTTTCAATATTTCTTATGCATATGTGCATATAAATTATATGGCTTATTTTATAGACTTATATAATATAAATGAAAACATGTCTAATATCAATATAAATCAACATTATGTTATAAATTATAATATTGAAAATATGCATAAAAAATATGAGAAGAAGAAGTTGAACATCGCATGTTCAATGGATTCAGGCTAAATTTTTTTTAAAAAATATTTTTATAAAATTAAAAAAAATACATAAATAAAAGGAAAATTTTGGTCATTCAGTTTATTTCTTTTCAGATTTATCTTTAAGAGAGCGTCTGGTATAATTAATAAAAAAATTAAGTGAATATTATCATTTAAAAAATTTTTTACATGTAATTTAATATTTATTTTTTAAATACTAAATAAGTGGCTAAATTGAATGAAATTAATGGGTGTTTAATTAATATATAATTTCAAAAGATGAAATAATAATAGTAGTAGTAGTTGGGTGGAATGGTATGTTAGATGTTGTCAAGGCCACGTGAGGGTAGCTAACTCTCACAAGTGCTCTCTCAGTCGTTATTACGGGTATTTTTTAATTTTTTATTTTTAATATAAGGTACATTATAATATATTAATTATATTTTTTAATATTATTTTTATTTAAATTCATTAACTATAAAAAAGTAATACAAATTGAAAAATGTATTTTATTTTACTAGAAACTATAGAATTGTATTTTATTTTTATCATTTTTAATATATATTATGCTTCATGACGGTCATATCCTATTTTACTAGACATAACTTGTGGTAGGTAAAAAAATAACTATTAATCTTTCTTGTTTATCTATCGTATTTGTGGTGTCTTCTTCTATCTGAAATTTCATCCATTGAGTGTTTAATGATTTTGATATGTTGTCTTGCTTTTTTTCACCCTTTCTACTTATTGTCCTATACAACTTCTTGTAATTTTAATAAATCAATACCAAAAATAATAGAGTTTATATGGATGTTAGCCACCGTTAAGTTCTTGGAGTCATATTTAAAAATATGTAAAGTTAAGAGATAATTTAAACTAAGATTTTGCATATCAATAAAACTCAATAATAATAATTTACAAACTTATTTTTCATAGTAATATATTTATTTAATTTTTTATAAGTCATTTCTACCAATCTCATCAATATCAATGTAAAAAAAGTACAAGAAATAAAAGTGTATAAAATTTCAAATATACTCTTATATAATAAATGCAAAAGTATGTCATATTATTTTTTCTTTTGCATGAAAGATAATTTTAAAAATATTTTTTAAATATTATCTAAAAAGCTGCACTGTAAATTATAAATGGAACAAAATAAACTTTTTAGAATGTAACTTATAAATGTGACTGGAAAAGTATACTTTTAAAAATATATTTTATTTAATATAATTTTAAATTTATAATCATTTTAATTTTCCTTTCACTTGAAAGATAATATTAAAAAAAATTATTAATAAAATATTATTTTTATTAAAATATTTTATATTTTAAAATAATAAAATATTTTTAATGTTGTATTATAATTTGAGACTAGGAGAGTATATTCACCTCGTCCCAATGAGCATTTTGAGCCATCTTTTTCTTTTTTCTTTTTGTTTTATTTTATCCATGAACATATCCATTATCCATACACACACATATATATGCCCAAATAATATACATACATACATACATAAATACGTATATATTCAAATTCAAGTTGCTTGCGATACAAAGAACCTGGTCAGATTTTAAGTTAGAAAGAAGGGGGGGAAAATAATTATAATAATATAAAATGATTTGGAAATCCAAAAAGGATACGAAATTATGTTTCGTTGTGTAAAAAGTGAAGTGGCCGTATTGGGCCCAGAGCTACCAACAAATGCTTCCCAACTGACTATTTCATCATGTTGTCCAACCTGTTCCCTCCTAAACTAATCCCCACCTTTTAATTAATTAATTAATTAATTATAGTATTTTATTAATCCAGTATTTGTTTGAAAAAAAATATTTAATAGCAAAAGAAAATCGATTTAATCAGCAACAGCGCAAGTCGTATCTGACAAAGGTGTAACTTTCAACCTCATACGAAAACAACTACCTGTTGGTAAACATTTTGTATAGCATGTCTAATATTTCTAGAAGTATTTTTTTTAAAAAATATTTTTTTAATTAAAAAATATAAAATATATTTAATTAAATTTTATTTTAATAAAGTAGTTACTTATTTTTAAATTAATTTTATTTTTTTATATTTATTTTAAAATTAATAAATTATTTCATCCTAAAAAATATAAAATAATATATTTAATAAGAATACTTTTAAAAAAATAATAATTATACTTTAAAAATTTTAAAATATTTTAATTTTTTAAAAAATATCTTATATTTTTAAATGAAGAGAATATAATTTTTTAAAAGTTTGTTTGAAAAAAATTATTTTAAAATTTTGTCTACAGAACTTTAAAGCTATGGAAAAGTGAGTTTGACAAAAATTAATGAAAGTTGAAAAGATTAATTATTTAATTCATTTAATTTTAAATGAGTTGTAATTTAATTTTTAATTTTTTAATTATTTAAATTATAAATCTTATTTAATTATAATAGAATTTTTAAAATTTAACTTTATACTAGTTTAATTTTTATAATTTTAATTATTAAAATTACTTTGAAAGAGAAATTAAAAAAATATTTGACAAAAAGAAAGTGAAAAAATGAAAATTGTGGGAGAAGGTGAACAATGAAATTAACACATCGAGTTATGGACACGTGGGCGTCTGAAAGCAATGAAGAAGAGAGGGTCCCACACGGGGATGCCATTCCAAAACAAACACTCACGTGGGACCCACTGCCCCTCCCAATCACATGGCCTCATTAAATCCAACGACCCAGATCTCTCCCTCACAATTCCCCACATCGAATCTTGACCGTCCCTCTGAATCCTCCCACTCTGTCCCAACCTTGTCCTCCATTTTCAGCGACATCTCGCTTTAAAGCTGCTCCTTTTGCTGCCGACACCCTCACCTTGTCTTTGTCCTCAATTAAAGTTCTTTCATTACCTAAATTTTTTTTCTTTTTCTATATAACTCTCTCCTCCAATTCTATTTCTTCCCACAAATTCTTCTTCATCTTCAAGCTTCGTTCTTGTGTGTACCATCAAGGATCAAAACGGTTCGCTTGGTTGCTTTTCTTGAGCTGGGATTTTTGGGTTTTTAGCGACAGAGATGGAAAGCAAAGTGGGTTATGAGAATGATCTGAATCACAAGGATACAGAGCTCAGATTAGGGTTGCCAGGAAGGGAAGAAGAGCAAGGATCACTGGTTAGCTCTAAGAACAATAACAACAAGAGGCCTTTATCTGAAGAAGCCTCTGAGAATTGTGGAACAAAGGGTTCTGATTCCAATGAATCAGCCCCTCCCGCCAAGTAGGTTAACATGTTTAGATTGAGAATCTTTCTGATTTTTTTGTCTGCGCATTTTTTTTGTGGTTCTGAAGTTGAAACTGATGATTTTTGTTCATGTTTACAGGGCAAAGATTGTGGGGTGGCCACCAATCAGATCTTACAGGAAGAACAGTATTCAGGAGGCTGAGGCATCTGGGATTTATGTGAAAGTGAGTATGGATGGAGCTCCATACCTTAGAAAGATTGATCTGAAGGTTTACAATGGCTATCCTGAACTCCTCAAGGCTCTAGAGAACATGTTCAAGTTAACCATAGGTGAGTGAGAGGGATTTGAGACTTCACAAAGATATTTCCTTTCTGATAGAACCTGTAAATGTAAATCAAATTTCTTGAAGCTGAAAATGACATGGGTTTTGTGTTTTCTTCTTCCCCTTTCAGGTCAGTACAATGAAAGAGAGGGTTACAAAGGATCAGAATATGCACCTACATATGAGGACAAGGATGGTGACTGGATGCTTGTTGGAGATGTTCCATGGGAGTAAGTCTCTCTCTCTCTCTCTCTCTCTCTACATGCATATATCCTTGTGTTTGTGTGTCTCAGTTTATAATAGTTAGTCTTACTGAAGTATGTCTCTTGTTTTTCTGCAGTATGTTCATGACTACCTGCAAAAGATTGAGAATCATGAAAGGATCAGAAGCTAGAGGATTGGGTTGTGCAGTATGAGGTAGAAGCAAAGTTTGTATGATCAGAGATCAGATCAGATCATTGATCAGTGAGTAAGCAAGAGATAAGAATTGTCTTTTTTGGTGTGGAAGAAAATCATTTCTTCAAGCCTGGGTTCTCGGAAACAAACAAACAAGCAAACTGGAATTTTGAGTCATGTCCACTCTGGGGTTGGCCTGGTCTTTTGTAAGAAGATGGAAGATATATATATAGTTCAGTTTCCTTCGTGAATATTTTGAGATCAAAATTTCTGGCTCTATTAGGGAAGAAGGGGAAAAAATCTGTGGTGATTGGATGATATAAAGCGGTTGTTTTCTCTGATCCTTTCAAGTGGGAAACTTCATTGAAATTTGTTTCAAATGAAGAAGGATGAATAGGACAGGGTTTGATGTGTTCAATTCAATCATCCTAAGTTTTTTTCTTTTTTAATGCTTATTTGGGTTTTGTATCAATACACAATGATAGTGTAATACACCAATTATTATTGTTAATTCGTATGTGTAATTTTGATTTGTGATTTGAATCATCATAAATTAAGCTTTGTGCGCCGCATCATCCAGACCTTGTTTTTCACAAATCTCTTTCAGAATCCTACACATCACATGTCCAAATTGGGGAAGAAAAGTAAAAACAAAATCGAAAATCTGAGGTTGAAGGTGGTCCTTAATAGAAAACTAGATCTGGTCTCTTTTTCGAGTTTCCAGTGACAAGAACATCACACACATCATATGCAGGCTGATGAAACTGGTCCATCCTAGAAAACTTGTTCAATGTCTCTTTCTTGTCTCCAATGAAAAGCATACATGTGATCCTCCTTTCACACACACACACACGTTTGCGCATATAATATGCAGCCAATGGCCATGGAAGGTATGAGGTTGAAGCTGGTCCATCCTAAAAAGCATGTTTTGGTGTCTTTCTTAGAGTCCCCAATGAAACCATTATTGTTTCTTTCTTTATATGATTTCAATCTCAACTTCCATGGCCATGGGCTGTATATGGTACATACATGAATATGTATGAGATTAATTTTTGCATAGAAGGAAACTACAGTAAAGAGAAACCAGGTCTGAGAAATTTACTGTGAAATGTTTGAATATAGTTTGTTCTTAAATGTGTTCACACTGCACCAGCAATGTTGGGCTAATTAAAATGAGTCAAATCCGTTCCCTGAATTGGTTTGAATGGTAGACAAAGGCATTTAGATATGATGCAGTTAGGTTAGGGGAGAATATGATGGCCAACTATATCAGTTATAATATGAGATCTGGTACTGTGATGACTTGGATATTTGCGGACATGGCAAAGACTTCTCTTCCCCTTTAATTTTTTTTAATAATAAAAAAATAAACTGTTATAAAAACGGAGACTTGTTAATTTTTTCAGGTTCAAAGCTGGTCTGGCTTTTACAACATTGCTTTTAAGACCCAAACTTTATTTTGATTTCTCAGTTCAGCTTCTTGGATGGAGGGGAGTTTATAACTTTAACAAGTGATAAAGAATTGATTCAGTTATATTATTAATGACTTTGTAAATACGGCGGTGTTTAAAGCAGCTTATATATGCTCCTTTAATTTTTATTATAAAATACTTTCAATTATTTCACTGCAATAAAAAAAAAGACAATTAATCCATTCAATATATCTTAAAATTTAAAAAAAAATAACTACATCGCTATTAAAACTAGAAAGAGAAATATATATAGTATATGGAGAGCTATAAAACTAAATCAGAATATGGTACTAACTCACTCTTCATGTGCCTTACTTCCTTTTAGTCCTGTTTATAAAATTGAGAGATAAAAAAAATTATTTCATTTATAAGTTACTTCCATTAATTTTTATCACAAATTTTTCTTTTTACCCTCCATTAAATGTTAGAGAGAGAAAATGTATAATTAAAGTATATATATTTAATAGGAGTAAAATTGAGAACTCATTAAATTTTTAAACAGAATTAATAATTTTTAAAATTTTTCTTCATCTCGATAAAATATGTTAAAAATGACTTATAAATAATATTAGAGGAATATATCAATAATAAATTTTTTTTCTAAAAGGTGTCATGTAATAAAGATCAGAGAGAATATATATTTATAATAAAAATAGGAAGAGAAAAATATATAATATATGATGAATTATAAAATTAAATTTACAGTAGAGGTAAAATTAGAATATAATAAATCACCTTTCATGCATCTTGTATTAAGGAAAAAAAAAATTTTTAGAATATGTCATGTAATAGAATATACAATTTAAGTCCTGAACTATAAGTTTAGGAGTAATTTAAACCTTGAATTTTTAAAAAATATATTTTGAACTATAAATAATTAAAGTTGAGGTAATCTCTCTCCTACCCTTATTTGATGAAAATCACACATTAGATCTCATTTCGAGAGATGTTTGTTAAAATTTAATAATGAAGATGAAATTATTAAATTATCCTAACTTTAATTGTTTAGAGTTAAAAATATAATTTTTAAAAGTTTAGGATTTAAATTGCTATTAAACTTATAATTTAGATTCAAATTATATATTAACTATAATATATATATAATTAATTAATTAATTAATTATTTTTTATAGTAATGATTTGATTGAGATTGTGTTGGGAAGCGAATAATGAGAAACCGTGTATTGTGAGATTTAGTGTTGAGATGTATCATTGAATGAGGAATAAGGGAAGAAAAATGATGGTCGGTTGGTGTAATGAGAAAGAATCTTCATCATTTTTCCCTCGCTTTCCAGGAATCTTCATTGTGTTTTTAGATCAGAGACTTGACTTGCACAAACCAAAAACCATGAGCCACAATGCCAAACTCTGTCTCTCAATAAGAGAGAGAGAGAGAGAGAATAAACTATTCTTTGTATGCTATGTAAAAGTGACTTTTAATTATGAGAGAAGGCCAGATAAATCTCTTTAAAATAAAAATAATAATAATTTAGTTATGTGAAATATGATAAGGATAGTGAAGTCTTGAGGAATTTTTTTAAATTAATTTTTTGTGTAAAATTATTTTAATACCTCTTCATAATTTAAAAAATTATAATTTTTTAAATTGTTTTAGTTATTGATAGAACAATCTTTGCAAATACTTATATGAAACTTTTGAATTGTATAAATTTAATTTCAGATGGATACTAAATTAATTTTATATAGAAATTTAATTTTAAAGAAGTCTCTTGAAATTTTATTGTCATCATTATATTTTGTGAGATCACATTGTTATTTTTTTGTTTTACAAGAATTTATCTGTCATTCTTCATCTAATTATCTCACCTAAAGAAAAAAAATTAGTTAAATTATTGATATTTTTTGAAAATGAAAGAAATTTTCCAGCTTACCCTTATTTAATGCAATGCAGGATCTTTAACACCATTTTTTTCCTTATATGTAACATTTTATTTTACTTATAAAAAATTATAAAAGGATAAATTGGAAGAATATAGTTAATGATCCATTTTTTTTAATGCAAAGTGACTTGCAAAAAAGATCACCAATTTTTTTTTAGAAAATAAATTATTTATAAGATCGGATTTGAAGGAAATACTCTTCTGATCCTATTTATAGGGGAGGAAGAGAACATTAATTTTGATCCTATTTATAGAATATTTTATTATTTTTTATGTATATTTTTATTTTTTACCCTTATTAAATAATAAAAAATATTTTTTTATGCTTATTAAGAGGCAGAAATGAAAACTCATTAAAATTTAAAACAAAATCAATAAAGTTTAGAATTTTTTTAAAACATATTAAAAATAATTTGTAAATAAAACCATAAAGAGTACGCTTGAATTGTGTGTGTCATCAACTTTTCAGAAGTTTAATCCAGCTAGACTCAAATTAATGAAGTTCGAACTAACTTCTAAAAATTAAAAGATATTTAATAAATCAAGATGGCATAACATATATATATATCTAGTGACTAGTATGCTCTTTTGATAAAATATTTGTCCATTGTCATGCAAGTAACATGCCTTATTTCTGATAACTATGATTAATAAATTTATTTATAGAAATATCTATAATCTTTTATTAAAAAAGATTATGACCCATCGGATAAATTTTAGTTTAAAAAAGATACACTGTTTTCAAAGTAAGTGCATAGTGAAGGACAGACATAAATGACAGTGAAAAAAAAAAAAAAGAAATAATTAAAATTTAATGAAACAAGAGAAAAGTACTCTCTTCACTTTGTGAAGTGAAAATGCCTTTTCTTTTTCTGATTTATGTCTCCCTCTGAGATTTCCTGTCCTTTTGCTCTCAGAATTTGTCTACACATTAATATAATTTTCTGTACACAGCTTGCTTAACTTTATTATTATTTTTTAATTTTTTTTTCTGATATAGTATCTTATCGAGCAATGAAAAAATCTTTTCTGATTCAATATTTTACTCAAAAGTTTGCAGAAAATATATAATTAATTAATTAGTTAGTTAATTAGAATGCTTGGCTCTTTTCAGAAGCTGCACATACAGTTGGGTGCATCAGTGTCAGCATTTACTTCTTTTCTGAAAAAAAAGTTATCAACTTTACTGCAAAAGGTAGGGTCGTTTTATTTAATTAATTTAATTAATTAGTTAATTAATATTAATAGTCACTCACTAGACAAAACCTCGAGACATGATGCTAAAATGATACGCCCTATTGAGCAATCCTAATTATGACAAATTTATATATATATATACACACACACACATATATATTATATAATTAACTTGGTCCCATCCTATCCATTATAAAAATAGTTATAGACTTACAGCCGGGGGAAGTCCTTCCATTATAGGTAAGCATAAAAATTTTATATAATGGGGTTGAAGTATAATTTCATCATTAAATTATAAATTCAATAATATTTGGGATCTTAAACTCACATTATTAGTAATATTTCTCTCTAATTTTTAAAAAAAGGTGCAATGTCATTCATGCCATTAACAAAACCTAGCTTTGATTGTTAGTGGATCAAAAAAAATATAAAAATTAACTTAAAAATTTACAAAAAATGACAAAATAATTGTGGTTAAAGTTAATATTTATTAATGGTACGGGCAATATTAAAACGTTTTAAAATATTGAAAGAAAATATCGTATCAAAATTAAGTTTAAAGTTATAAATGATCCTGATTTTCGACTTATAGTTTAGAATGAATTTGTCATTTAACTCACATATAATTCATAACATATGTTAGTTTTCATTTTATTGAATGTTTTTATTATTTAAGTTCAAATTTTAAATTTGTTGCAAAATTTATTCACAATCAAGATATATATCCTTGTCCAACTTTTGGAAGAATGACAGATAAATCATCTTGAAATAGAAAAATAGTAATTTGATCTCACAAAATGTAATAATAAAAGTGAGGTCTCAAATGACTTCTTTTATATTAAATTTGTGTGAAATTACTTTATTAAGCTTATGTGATTTAGAAATTTTTAATTGTCTAAATTGTTTTAATTATTAGCGAAATCAAACTTGTGAATACTTATATTAAATTTGTGAACCATATAAAATTAATTGTATATTGGTACTAGAATAATTTTACAT